AGAGATTATTATACTGGACCCTTCTCTTATGGAGGAGGCACTAATTTTTCCTTACAGGGATAGACACATGGAGTCTGGATTTTACTTGTGTTTCTACTCCTACCACTATCTGTGGACTTACAGAATACCTTTCCCATCATCACTGTATCTCAAACAATGCCTCCCAAGTAGGGCACATATTTTGCAGCAATGGCCTTGCACCCATGGAATTCACTGATCTTAACATGTTCTTCATCACCCAGAAGCTACTGACTTGATAGAATTTTGAAATGACATTCTGAAAGCTCAGTTATGTCACCAACTGGAAGGTAAGAATCTTCAAGTTTTTGTCTTACAGGATGTGGTATATGCCTTAAAACAATGGCCAATATATGAAGCCATCTCCCCTGGATCTGAAATAATAATTGATAATTAATTTCAATTAATTTGAAGGCTGAGCACGGCCTCTGTACATTTTAGTCTTCTCATGTCACTGAACCAATAGGCAAAGGAAAGTGTTCCTCCTTTCGCTGTGATGAGTGGTCCCAATTTCTAGGAAGTAATTGCGCTCCTGCTGTATAATTGAAGCTAAGAAGATACTGCTGGAACCCAGGGAAGCCTCTAAATGTTCTTTGTCCACAAACCCTGGTCAAAAAATTGTGGCAGAGCAATAAAGAAAAGACTACTGAGGATATAGATCCCACAGGAATAAAGGCAAAAATTATGCCACCATGTAAAGAATTCAGCCAAAGTGCTGACAGAGGTCAAGGTAATAAGGAATGAGTTTTTAGAAGAAGGAAGTCATGATTACTAACTTAAGCCTCATGACCAGAAGCAGAGTCCATGTGACAACATTTCAAGTTTGAAGTGACACTATGAACAAACTAAACCACTTTATAAGCTGTTCATTCCATGTATCCCATGTAGAAATGCAAATTTTTTACCTGGGAAAAGGACAAGAATAAATACCAAAGGACAAATTTACTTGGTCAGATATTTATTTACCAGTTCATATTCTCTCCCCCTTCTTCATCCTGAAGGGCTAACCTATATATGACCTATAGGCTGACCTATGAATTCAGTCCTTGTCCTTTGACTTCTAGTTGGATTTGGCCAGTGGAAAGTAAAAGCAGATTAGAGTGAGGAAGGAGCTCTTTCTGTCTCCAGATTTTTTTCTTCTTCTATTGTCCTTTAGGGCCTAGGTGTGATAACTGCCTGTTTATGTTAGATTCAGAGCACTGCACTATCCCTTATGATTTCTTAACACCTTGCTTACTGCTTTACAATTAGCCTATTAAACATTTCTCAAAGTATTCCATTTAAGGGAGTATCTCCTCATGGAACACTGGCTAACTTACTGACCTTTTCTAGCTTATATGCTAATGGAGCTTGCAGGCCAATTAAACACAAACATAAATAAGATGTTTAAAAAAAAATAATTGGTAGGGAGTTTAAGAACCTGGTCTATCAATAGTGAATGGTTGTCAGAAGGCATGCGTGGATTAGGATTCAAAAAATAACTCACTGAAGAGGTGCTTTTTTATGAAAATTGAAGAATGAATAAGAGTTATTCAAGGAGAGACTAGCTAAACACTCTGGGCCTTGAAAACAGGAAATGCAAAGCTACTGAGGCAGGAAGAACTACCATATGTTCTAGAAATAACAATCCCTTGTGACTGGAGTATACATGAAAGGAGAAAAACAGAAAAAATGTTGTGGAGATAGAGAGAGCCAGGTAGATGGTGAACACTTTACTTTTTTTGCATGGATCTGTTGTGTCTTTGTCCCAACTTCATGCTTTCCTTTGTATCCTGAAAGCTAGATGACAGCAAATTACATTTCCTTGATTCCTTTGTCAGCCAGTTTCTGATTTGTTTAATCCAGCAAGAGGCAATGGAAGAGAAGTGAGAAGCTGGGAAGAAAGGAGAATCTGTGCTTATGGCAATAAAGGTGTTTAGTTCTTGAGGGTAGGTTGGGGAGAGATGATCACTTTATCACTGTTAACACAACACACCTTTCCCCTTGTGGAAGAGCTGGAAAAACTATTATCTCTTTATGTAATCTGATCTAATGAATGGATATTTTGGAAACTGACAAGTGCTAGTATGTACAGGAGAAACTTCTAGTTTATTTAGCAGGAGGATCAGACCAAATCAGACAGGCCAATCCCTGAATATACTTCCTAATTCTACTGTCTTGCCAATGGGTTTCAGCCCTGGGCAAGTTTGCTATGGATTCAATGTGACCAAAGAAATTGACAGCAAAACGTTCTTGGGGTGAAAGGGATATACCCAATTTTATTTCCAGGTGGCAGGTCAGTCACTAAAATTCTGTTCACTCTGAGCAAGTCTGCATGCAGCAAGCCGGTCTCTCCCCTTGCCTCTGGGCGCCTCTGTCTGCACAGCCGTCCTCTGGGCCCCTAGGTCCGCACAGCCGTCTTCTGGGCTCCTCTGTCTGCACAGCCATCCCACGCAGCCGTTCTCTGGGCCTCTGCAGTTGTTCCGCACAGCCACCCTCTGGGCCTCTGTCCTTGGCACTGCCACCACTCCAGCCTCTGCTTTGCTCTCCTACAGCCTTGCAGCCCTGCCACAGTGTTGTGCCCAGAGTACTGGGCGGAGCTCTTTATATAGAGTCAATAGCCATGTATTGCCCACAGGTGTGCAGTGAGCTAGACAACCAGGGTCAGGTGAGAATCCTGGAGGATAAAACATTCATTTTATCCACACTCCACTCCTCCAGGATTCTCTCCTCTCAATCTACGTGCCCTTAATCCTCTGCAATGGTCCCTGTGCAAGAAAGCTCGAACATTGTTTTCCAACCTCTCCAGCAAAATGTCTTGCAGACACACAGGCCGGACTTGTCGCTGTCTCTGACCTCTGCCTCTTTAGTCTTAATGGCTTGAACTGCTGCACTGATTTCAGTTGTTGCCACAGCTCCAGTAAGATCTTATTTGCTTCCCGTCTAATTTCCTTCCATCTACTCCTGCCCGTATCAAATCAACCCACATCTGGGTCCTTGTAACCCTCACGGGGCCCCTCAAATTCCTCCTGTTAACAGGTCTTACTTCTTTCCGGGTTCTCATTGCTTCAAACTACTGTACGTGTTACCTCGCACTTTGTAATCGCTGCCTCAAAGCGGGCTGCACTGTCAGGGAAGACAGCTTTCCCATCTGTGATCCCGACAGAACAATTCCATACACCCCTAAGTCCCACAGCCACCGGCTCAATCTGAGTATAAAGGTGGACCATAGAGTGCTCCACGACCTGGGGATGAGGCTGCTGCTCTCCTTGGGGAACTTTCAGCTGCTGGGTCTTTATTTTATTTACAACCACTGGGAGTGCTTTCAATACAGGAGGGACCCAGTGCCTCCGGCACCATCCCTTCATCCTTCTCCAGCTTCTCCATTTCTGGGGCTGATGGCACCTTTCTCTCCACTCCAAGTGCCTCCTCTTTACAGTGCCTCTCAGCAATGCCAGCTCAGTCTTCAGAAACTCTCCTACCTTCACCTCAATGCTTCGCAGCTGACGTTCTTGTGCCACCTCCGCCTGTGCTTCCCTCAGTTCGTCTTTTTCCTTGTTGGCCTCTTCCTCCTTCAGAACACCTGGCAGCACTGCCCTCTTGTCTCCAATGGCACCTTGCTGCCGGTGCTCTCGTGCTGCCTCCTCTTGCATCAATGGCATCTCCTTCCTCAGGGAATCCACAGAATTTTGCAGCTTACATTCTCATGACACCATTTCTGGGGTCTCCTCTGTACTCCTAATGCTGTGAGAAGCAGCCAACCCACAGTCCCCACTGCCTCACGAGCACTCTGCTTCTCAAAGGATCTGCTTACTATACCAAGGGCCACCCCTACTGCCTCAGGTGTCACCTCCACTTGCCTCCAGTCCTGGGGTGGGGCCCAGTCCTCTAGGAGGCAAGCTACCTGAGACCACATACCCATTGGGGGACGATCCAGTCTCCCCATTGACAGGTGCAGCCCACTGAAGTACCCCTCCCATAAGGGCAGCCTTTTTCCTTGGTCAACAGTGAACCCTGCCTACTTTGGCCAAGTGGCTTGCCAATGGGTTTCAGCCCCCGGCAAGTTCACTATGGATTCAATGTGACCAAAGAAACTGACAGCAAAACGTTCTCGGGGTGAAAAGGGTTATACCCAACTTTATTTCCAGATGGCAGGTCAGTCACTAGAATCCCATTCACTTAGAGCAAATCTGCATGCAGCAAGCTAGTCTCTGCCTCTGGGCCCCTCTGCCTGTATCATTTATTTTCTCAATTTATGCAGGTCTCTGATCAGTTAACACCTTTAAAAAGGTTATTTCCACTTACTCTATCTAAAGTAATAGCCCCCTTATGCTTGATGTCTTATCTCCACTCTTTTTCCCATGGTATATGTATTACTTGTTTACATGTTTTATGTCCCCCACCTGGTAGTTTCCATGGAGGCAGATTTTCTAAATTGCATTCACTGCTGTATCCTAAGCTAGTACAATGCGTTAGTGTTCCAAATAGAACCAAGTACTTAACCATTATGGGATTAAGTTCTGCATATTAATAAAAATTCTAACTCCCACTGGAATCAATTCTTAAAATGGAAATGGTCAATGAGTATAAAGTTAATAATTTCATCATCTTAAGAAAACTGAGTTTACATCACTTAACCAAGCTGTTCTTTTCCAGGACTCTTCTAGTATACAAAGAAATACTACATTGGTCTTCAAAAAGCGACCAGTTCATCTGTACTTTTGCTTGTGAACACTAATAGTTAATTAAAAACTGTTGAAATATCTACTTCATCTAAAATTTCTGAGCAAGCTTCTCCTGGTCATACTAACACCTGTACACTTTCACATTGTTTTCAGGTCAGTTTACATTTACTAGAGTTGCTAACCTCTCCCAAAAGGGAGAACATTTTGTAAATTAGACTACCAAAAAATTGAAGTATTACAAACGGTGTGTACCAGCTTTCTTCCTCTGACAAAGTAATTGGCTCTGAAAAGAGCCTTTTGTTTCGTGGATTTTCTAACCTTGCTCATTTGGCCTTGTGGTGGCTCTCGGTCTTCTTGGGCAGCAGCACGGCCTGGATGTTGGGCAGGACGCCGCCCTGCGCGATGGTGACTTTGCCCAGCAGCTTGTTGAGCTCCTCGTCGTTGCGGATGGCCAGCTGCAGGTGGCGCGGGATGATGCGCGTCTTCTTGTTGTCGCGGGCGGCGTTGCCCGCCAGCTCCAGGATCTCGGCCGTCAGGTACTCCAGCACCGCCGCCAGGTACACGGGCGCGCCGGCTCCGACCCGCTCGGCGTAGTTGCCCTTGCGGAGCAGGCGGTGCACGCGGCCCACGGGGAACTGCAGACCAGCCCGCGACGACCGGGTCTTGGCCTTGGCACGAGCCTTACCTCCTTGCTTGCCTCTTCCAGACATAACGACTTCAACAAGTACTCTGCACACAACCTCCAGTGAAAGCGCGTGGGGAGAATGGAAAGTGGTGGTGGTGCAGCTTTTTATACCCCTATTTGGGCGCGAAAAAGAAGAATTTTCATTGGTTAAGCGTGCAGTTTCATCTTAACGAATGAAAATTGAACGTTAGGATTTTTGTGTTCTGAATGTTCAGAGCTAGTTTATGACGTCATCCAAAAAGTGACCAATCAGACGCAGGTCTTTAACTTATCAGCTATTTGCATAAGCGGTTCTATATAAAATGGACCTGTCGTGCTTTGCTTGTGTCACTTTGTCCTTGTTATTGTAGTAGGTAGATTGCGTACTTGACTATGCCTGAACTTGCCAAGTCTGCTCCGGCACCCAAGAAGGGCTCCAAGAAGGCGGTTACTAAAGCGCAAAAGAAAGATGGCAAGAAGCGCAAGCGCAGCCGCAAGGAGACTTACTCTGTGTACGTGTACAAGGTACTCAAGCAGGTCCACCCGGACACCGGCATCTCGTCCAAAGCCATGGGCATCATGAACTCGTTCGTCAACGACATCTTCGAGCGCATCGCGGGCGAGGCGTCGCGCCTGGCGCATTACAACAAGCGCTCGACCATCACCTCCAGGGAGATCCAGACGGCCGTGCGCCTGCTGCTGCCCGGGGAGCTGGCCAAGCACGCGGTGTCCGAGGGCACCAAGGCCGTCACCAAGTACACCAGCGCCAAGTAAATTTGCCAAGTAAGCGTCTTTAAAGTTAACCCAAAGGCTCTTTTAAGAGCCACTAAGCACTCAGCATTAGAGCTGCAATTGCATTCTTCCAGTCTAGGCTTTAATTATGGCGGTTTCCGTGAGTGGTTGCGGGGATTCCATTACACTGAGGAATGTGTGCGGTGCTCGGCTAGAAGGCAACCGGCTATAGTATCAAGTATCTTTTACGAAATCAGGTACACGGATCTTAAAATGGGGTGGTGACCCAAAATGTGTGTGTAAATAATATATATTATGTAAACTATAGTATATGATATGTACATACATGGCGTGAAAACATCCTTCGGTTGTGAGAAAGTAGGGTGGCTTCCTGTTTTAAACCCTGACAGCCTATCACGTGTCCTTTTTTCCTTCGTAGTTAACATCCTGTTATGAGTTCTGTCTCCGATAACCTTGCAGCCTTTTAACTCGTTATGTCCTAGGCGGTGCTATGTGAATAGAAAGATAAAAAATAAGGGGATTAAATTGGAAAAACAATTGCTTTCGTTCACCTTTTTTTAAAGCTTTCGTCTCCAGCCCATTAGGAATCAGGACAATGCCAGGCCCGGAGGGGTAAAGCACGCAAGACAAGGATTAGAAGCATAGCTTTCCTCCTGCTTAAAGACAAAACGGGTCTCAAAAAGTCTTGTGTGACCAATTCACTAGTTTTTTAAATCAAATATATACAGCTACAGAGACAAGTGACAGATATGTTGTATAAAATGGAAAAAACAAGGACGTACTAAGAAAAATTGGAATATTGTACTGCCTTTAATAATTGAGCAAGTTTTTTCAAGCCCTTACATTCCAGTATCCTATTTGTAAAAGAACTTTGATCCTTGTGATTCCTTTCAGGTGTTAAATTCTGTGCTATCCAGACAAAATGAGATCTGTGTGGTGTGAGAATAAACGTGACTTTCTCAGGTCCACAACCTGACCAATTACAAAAGAAAAATTCGGATAATGAAATCAAGTTGACATATTCACAGGCAGATCTTGTACCTGGCCTGACACACTTCCCCAAATTCTCCATTATATGACCAGGGCCATTATACTCTGTGATGACTTATCTATCAATTGAGAGTGATTGAGAATGTTACAGCTTGGGTTATAGAATATAAAATATTTGGTGCCTTGGTTATTTGATTTTGATGTCAGTTATTTTGCCATTTTAAAATGATGAAACCTATCAAGATTATTAACAGGAGAATAATCCATGTAAAGCATTTAACAAATTTGAATAAACAAATATCTTAGGCATTTTTTCTTTCACTCTTTACCTTTTTTTGTCTCACGTTTTGGAAATGTTAAGCATCCAGTTAATCATTGCTTATTTAGAGAATAGAAAGCTCAATCTTTTCAGCTCTTTCAATCAGTTTAGCTCTAAATTTTAAGACAAATAATGAGATATAACCAGCCTAATTTTTTTGTCCATTGATAACAATTTTTTTGGAGAATTAGGGGAGAGGGAAGTAACTCCTATATGAAAAGCCAGCATTCATAAGAACTGTCAAAAATCAACATTACTAATTAATTTTTGTGAACCTAAAGATACAATAAAAACAAATCAACCCCCAAGGTGACAATATATTTCTCATGCTGAAAAAGTTTAAAAGCCAAAATATATAAAGAAAGAATACTTACAAATCATAAATAAATCCCAGGAAATAAAAAAACAGGCAAAAAAATATGGACAGGTAGTTCCCATTAAGGGGAAAATTCCCAAATAGCCAAAATCCTATAAGAAAATAAACAACTTTATAACCAGAGAAATGCAACTTAATACACAATGAGATACCATTTAGCAAATCCTTAGACTGACAATTTAATTCTGACAGGAAAATGTTGAAGATGTGAAGTAACAAGAACTGTCAAGAGTACTGGTGGGATATGAGAGTGTAAACAAAATACAATCCTGAAAAGCTAATTGTTTCTTTATTTTCATGTTGAATATCTACATACCCTTATACCAAGCAGTTTCACTCCTAGATATGTAACTAGAGAAAGAGCACAGCTGTGTACAATGCCCACTGTAGCGCTATTTATAATGAAAAATTTAAGATATTTAAATTTCTATCAGGGAAATGAATGTTATGTGCTATTGACTCACCGCAAGACTTCAGAAGGGAAATAAACAATTACATGTTTCAACACATGAAAAGCAAATACAGAAAAACATGTTTCATAGAGGTGTACTGATTTCTAAAAAGTTTTAAAAGGAGAGACATGATGCTATATATTATTTAGGGGTATGTGCAAGTAAAGTTAAAAACTAAGAAGCATAGGAACAATAAACAAAATCAGGGTGCTGGTTAATTACAGGTAGAGGATTAACTCTAGGGAAAATGGAGAGCTGTGCTGTTGAAAAGGGACACACAGAGAGATCCCATTGTATTTTTTCTCTTTTGGTATCATTAATAAATAATCACATGAGCAACATTGTGGTTACTAGATTTCCCCCATTATCAAGTCCCCACCACATACCCCATCACAGTCACTGTCCATCAGCATAGTAAGATGCTATAGAGTCACTACTTCTCTGTGCTATACTGCCTTCCCCATGCTCCCCCCTCCTTTATGTGTGCTAATTGTAATGCCCCTTATTCCCCTTATCTCTCCCTTCCTACCCACCCCACCCCCAGTCCCTTTCCCTTTGGTAACTGTTAGTCCATTGGGTTCTGTGAGTCTGCTGCTGATACGTTCCTTCAGCTTTTGCTTTGTTCTTATACTCCACAGATGAGTGAAATTATTTGGTACTTGTCTTTCTCGCTTGGCTTATTTCACTGAGCATAATACCCTCTAGCTCCATCCATGCTGTTGCAATTGGTAGGACTTGTTTCTTTCTTATGGCTGAATAGTATTCCATTGTGTATATGTACCACCTCTTCTTTAGCCATTCATTTACAGATGGACACTTAGGTTGCTTCCATTTCTTGGCTATTGTAAATAGTGCTGCAATAAACATAGGGAAGTATATGTCTTTTTGAAACTGGGATCCTACATTCTTAGGGTAAATTCCTAGGAGTGGAATTCCTGCGTCAAATGGTATTTCTACTTTAAGTTTTTTGAGGAACCTCCATACTGCTTTCCATAATGGTTGAACTAGTTTACATTCCCACCAGCAATGTAGGAGGGCTCCCCTTTCTCTGCATCCTTGCCAACATTTGCTTGTTCCTAGTCTTTTCGATGTAGGCCATCCTAACTGGTGTTAGGTGGTATCTCATTGTGGTTTTAATTTGCATTTCCCTGATAATTAGCGATGTGGAGCATCTTTTCACGTGCCTATTGGGCATCTGAATTTCCTCTTTGGAGAAGAATCTGTTCATATCCTCTACCCATTTTTTTTAATAGAGTTATTTGCAAACATTTTGGGTGTTGAGGCATGTGAGTTCTTTATATTTGAATGTTAAACCCTTGTCAGATATGTTATTTACAAATATTCTCCCATACTGTAGGATGCCTTTTTGTTCTGCTGATGGTGTCCTTTGCTGTATAGAACATTTTTAGCATGATGTAGTCCCACTTGTTCATTTTTTATTTTGTTTCCCTTGCCCGAGGAGATGCATTAGGGAAAAAATTGCTCGTTTATATTCGATTTTTGCTTGTTTTCTTCCAAGAGTTTTATGGGTTCATGACTTACATTCAGGTCTTTGATCCATTTTGAGTTTACTTTGGTGTATGGGGTTAGACAATCGTTTCATTGTCTTGCATGTTGCTGTCCAATTTTGCCAACACGGGATCCCATTGTATTTGAATTAAGTGGTGTGGTATTCACTAGCATCTTTTGTATAGATGTACTTTAGTGTTTAAGATTGTACCAAAAGGCAAACATTGGAAAGGGAGGCAAATGTACTGTGGACTGGGTTAAGACTGTCCAAATGTTTCCAGCCACAGTTAAATGTAGAGGAGAAAGGTGAACAAAACTCTCCCAATACTCCGTTACAGATCTCTTCAACTCCCTTCAGCCAAACACATTTTTCTGAAGGTTCTTGACTAAATGGAAAGTATACCTTTCTTAAACCCTTCAGCCTGTCATTAGGGATATATCTACAGGATCCGACGGAGATTGTTGGACAGAGTACTCTTGGTCTCAGGTAGACTCATTAATTAGGACGATGACCCCAAATTAATAAGCCAGAGAAGTTGAATTCAATCTGCACCCAGAGAAAAGCCGCTGGCTTGCAGAGCTCTGGTCCCCCACAGGCCTGGGAGTCTTGCCCCGGAGCCAATACCACGAGCCGCCCAAATGTAACACCCTGTGTAACACCCTACCCAGAGTAAACCTGAACCAAAGTAATGATTTACTAAACGCTTGTTCTCTGACAATCACTCCAGCTTTTTCAATGAAAGTTTTGGGGGCCCTTACAAGGGCCCCCTTTTTTTTTTTTTTTTTTTTTAGCAAATGACGTTATTCTAAATTACGTTAGCCGCCAAAGCCGTACAGAGTGCGGCCCTGGCGCTTGAGCGCGTAGACCACGTCCATAGCCATGACCGTCTTGCGCTTGGCGTGCTCGGTGTAGGTGACGGCGTCCCGGATCACGTTCTCCAGGAACACCTTCAGCACCCCGCGGGTCTCCTCGTAGATGAGGCCGGAGATGCGCTTGACCCCGCCGCACCGGGCAAGGCGGCGGATGGCGGGCTTGGTGATCCCCTGGATGTTGTCCCGCAGGACCTTGCGGTGGCGTTTGGCGCCGCCTTTACCCAGGCCCTTTCCGCCCTTCCCGCGTCCAGACATTTTCAAGAAGTTGAAAATTAAAGAGAGCCCACCTCCTCAGGTTATCTCCTTTTTATGGGTAACCTCTGCGGACCAGAGTGAAAACAAGAGCTGTGGCGGGAAGTGCGTCTAGTTTGGGAAGGGAACCTAAACTGAAACAAGCGTGCTATGCTACTCCCTTTTGTTCTTTCAGTTAATTCTTTTGAATTCTTAATACCTATTTTTCTGCCTCTTTTCTCTTGTAATGTGTCTGGCGACCAATTCTCATAAAACAGCAAAACTTAAACATTGCAGAAAATACATAAAAAAGTAAAGAGAATAAAATATTCTGCTTTAATCTCTACATATATACATGTATTTTTTTCTCTTAATATTTGTATAAAACTATACCATTTTGTAGTTTTCTCCTTAATCTGCGGGAGAAATATCACGTGAAATAACTTCCCAGAAATAGAATAAGAATGCTAATAAAATAGAAAATTTTAAGATCTTTCAGGTATATTGCTAAATTTCCACAGAAGGTGCACCAATTTTCATTTCAACAGTAGGGTAGAACCATTTAAAAAATTTTACCCTAAAATAATCTTTCTTGTAAAGCGAATGAACTTTTGAAAAATTAACTAGCTGGCTAATCAGTATAACATTAAATATTCCTACTGGTTTGAGGAACTTAATTGATTATACATTGAATTTTTCTCAAAATTAATTCCTGAGATTTTATTGCTGTGCTGATCAATCTGTGTATAGTGCGGAAGTGTTATGTGAATTGTTTGAAATACTGAAAAATATTTTAATACTTGGCAGTGTTCCTACATCTTAATTAGTTTCAAATAATTTCTACTATTATTACCATTCATTCTTGAAGTTATAAATCATGTCTTGTTGCAAGAAAGTTCTTTTAGTACTCTGCTCAAAACTTAAGCCTACCCACTTATTAGGGCAGAATTGTTATTTTTGAAATACTGTGTGTCCTCCTAACCTAAAAATACTAAATCTCTCCATCAATCCAGGTCTTTAATTGTATCTCAGAACAGATTTTACTATGTAATATATAATTTTAAAAATTAAAAAACTTTTGTTAGGCAGGAAAATAGATATGAGCGGGGTGGAAAGAAAAAAAGGCCGGAAAAGTCCACTAAAACTTTAGACCCAAAATTAATCAATTAAAGCTAAAAAAGCCAGCAGCAACTTGGCCTGGAATGTTCGAATATTCCCCAGAAAAAGGAGTACCTCAGCATAACCTATGTCTTTATTGTGTTAATCATGCAGGCCCAGCTTTATTTACCTTTACTTTTGTGCTGTATTTTTTCTCCTTCCGGCCCTAATTAAGTAGTTTGTAACCTAGGCAACTAATTTAGCATGCAGGCCCAGCCGTAAACAACATAGTAAAAGGCAGGAAACATTCCATCTTAAAGATTGTATTTTAATACCCAGTAAGTTAAAAATGTAAGATTCTTAACTTACTCTTTACCAAACAGACAATAACTCAGCCCACCTTGGGGTCCTGGCAGGCAGCCTGTTTGATCTCCCCCTAGACCAAGATGCCGGTATCCCAGGGAGAAGATGATGCCGGGGTTCTATGCTCACGAAGCCAAAGAATGAGCTTCACAAACACTCAAGGTAGGAGAGCAAGGTACAGGCTTTTATTTAGAGATAAAGTGAAAGGACAGAGCTCCCGGCTCACGCCAGGAGGGGACAAGAGAGTCCGTAGTGGTGCTTTGTTTAGGGGGTTTTATAGGCAGTTGAGGATTTTTCGAGAACACGAAAAAACTTAGGGGTGTGGACTTGCATCACCTGCCTTGTCCTCAAGGTGGGCTGGGTGGTAGTCTGATTGCTAGGGCTGACAGCAGAGTCACGGGTTATGCTGATACCCTTGCAGAACATTCCAGGCCAAGGTGCTCCTGGCCTTTTGACCTTTAACTGATCTCATTGAAAGATGTCTATATTCTTAGGTATCTTTCCCTAGAGAATTAGTGTGACTTGACTTTGCATAATGCTTAACAGAGTTTCATTGGAGACTTCTTTGCCCATTGTTAACATTGCTCTGACTGTAAATATTCCTCCCTGCTTTTCCCAGAGGCCCTCACCCTACTCTGACTACACCCAAGGTCCCAGTCTCAAAATCAGAGCAGGAAGTTCCTTGTGTTAAGTTAATTCTAAGTATTCAAAGTCCACTTAACTAGTCTGCTCCTCCAGCCCTTAGACACATCCCTAAAGAATCATTAAACGGGAGAACCCCCAACCTTTTGAAGCGCTCCTCTCTGAGACTGCCTGCACTTTCCAACTTTAACTTTCAACTGCACCTTTTAACTTTAAACTCTCTCTTTTCAACCTTTCAGGGGGTGCTCCTCTAAGTATCCGTAAATAAAACTTTTACTCTGCTTCACTGTGTCTCTGCCCTTCCATTCTTTGTCGCAGCGGGGACAGAGGAAAATACACAGCGCTCCCCCAAACACTTTTGTAAGAATTAAGTTGTCAATGAACAAGTGGAAAACTCGAATGCAGGGGAAAGTATACTTTTGTTTTTCTAGGAAAACTTCTATTAAAAGACTGATTACATACTTCAAACATTCTTGGTTAGATATTCTAATTGTTTAAAAATTACAATTTTACTATTGTTTAAATTCTGAGAAATTTTAATCGCACTTAGCATCAGAATGTAATTATTCAGTGATTTTCTTGCTATCACTTATTTCAATGAGGGTTACTTTTAGCCATGTTGCATTACAGTATTTTCAAAGTATTTTAAATTTCATTAAAGAGAAATCTTTCATTAAAATATTTAATTTTTTATGTACTTCTGTTTACAATAAAAGAAAACTTGCCAAACACCTTTGTAAAAACAAAACTGATTCAACCAGCGGTAAGGGAATTAATTCATTGTATTTTATGGAGAGGGTAGATAGTATAGGCTTTTAGTTTAAGGGCAAATACAAATTGAAAATCAGAAACTTAATTCTCCAAGGGTCCTTTCCTTTTCCTCTTTCAGAATTTATTTCTCTGTCCTTTTCAAATGCACATAAATCCTTTTAATGGCTAAGTCTTTTTGTCAGCCTCTTAACTCAGGAATGTTTCCTCTTGGACCTTAGGCCCTGTCTTTGAAATGTAATCATCAAGGAAAATAGTGCTCTATTTCCCAGTTTCCTGAGGAGCGATGGACCTAACTTCGGCTGTTACCTGACTCCAATAGCTAAATCTACCCAGTGCAGTAAGTTATTGTTAGGCCGGGGAGAGGAAATCCTGGGGTAAAATACGTCTAAAAACCAAAATCAGTCAAAGGGAGAAATAAAGTTTACGAGTCATTTTTTGCTTACAAAACTGCAGTCCAGCCCATCTCTTTCTACTGCTCCAGCAGCAGCAAACCAGCCTTCTCTCTCACCTCTCAGGTACAGATAAGCCCTCCTTGCCCAGGTAATTACCCATTGATATGGAGATGAACTTCTCTCCACCCCTGAGGAATGATAAAAATACACTAAAACCAAACTTCTTTCCACCTCTGAATGCCTATTGAAATGCAGATATACTAAAGCCAGGTGAGAAATTCTGGAACTATTACAATTTTACCCACACTGGATTTAGGGTAGGCTCTAAATCTAATGACTGTTTTCCCTGTAAAAGGAGAGGATGTAAAGACACAGGAAATAAGGCTTTGTGAAGATGGTGGTAGAGACTGCAGATACGTTGCCACAAGCCAAAGAACTCCAAACATTACCTTTCTTTACCAGATGGAAGCTCCCAGATCAGTGATTACACTATGGGAGCAAAGGGACAAAATAAGTTTTCAGGATTTATTTTGCATATCACTTCCAAAAACTGTCATTACTGTCAGTGTCTTCCACATTTTGCCTTTAGATGTTCCATGTAACTCTTCAGGGAAATCCCGGGGCAAAATACCTTTGAAGCCAAAATCAGTCAAAGGGAGAAATAAAGAGGGAGAAACCCGTTTATTTCTTACAAGCAGTCATCCACTTCTGCTCTCCCATATCTCTTACAACCCAGCTGCAGAAGGAACCTCACATAACCTCTGTGATCCAGAAAAACCCTCACTCTCCATGTAATTACCTATTGATATGAAGATGGATACTTCACCCCTTGGAAACACCTATTGATATGGACATGTACTCAGGCCAGGCAAGAGATTCTGGAAATATTACAATTTTACCCACATCCCACAGGAGAGAAATCAAGGCATCGACTTAAATCTGCCTAACTAACTTTGCCCTTGTTTTCCTAGTTACTTCCCTGCAGCTGCCTTCCCCACACCTTTTGTCTATGGCTGAAGGTGATATTTAGGCAGTAGTTCTACGGCACCTCGGGAATTACTCATTTTTCCCTGGGACTCTCCCATGTATGCAATGAGGTATGCATGCAGTTAAAAAGAAGACAGCAGGCCCCAAATGGAGTTAACTTGGGCTGAACCGTAAGTCAACAAACCAAACCTTAAAATCTAGCCTAATTACAGTCTCTGTAACCTTTTACCAGTCAACCTGGAATTAACCGGTCAAAACTAGTAAACTAATCCACTTTATAGGCCCTTGTAATCCCCTCAGGAGGATGGCTTTGCCTGAAACAATGCATTCTTGGCTAATAATTTTTTCAACCCCTTTTCCACTTTTAAAAATCTTTCTTTTTCTATAGTTCAGTGGGGCTCCTTTCTAGTGCTAGATTGGATGGTGCCTGATTGATGAATCATTGAATAAATCCAATTTGATATTTAAATTTACTCAAGTTGAATTTTTGTCATTTAACAATGTTAATAAACTTATGTTTTCCTCTTGCAAATGTGTCTTTTATTACAGGGGTTTCAGCCAAAAATTCAGTAGAGGAAAAAAAATTTTTTTCCCCCTACAATTGGAAGACATATTTAAAGATAGAATGACTGACTAAAATAACTTGGATTATATAGCTTCTAAAAAGCCTATAGAAAAGTTAAACATTTTACTGTTTTTGGCAGGACCATTTTAGTGCCTATAATTGTTGGTATTTGGGTGTATTCCAAGAAGTCATATTTAGACTAGTATTCGAAGCAGTTATATTTTAAATACAAGAAATAGAAAGAACAAAAGGGTGTGAATATTAGTATGAGAAAATTATATACTATAAGTGTTAAAAAAAAAATGCAGATAGTAAGATTCAGTTTCAGGGGAAAATTATAATTAAGTTGAAAAGGGATGGTTGACCAAATTTTAGAGCAAGGGTTTTCAACCTTGATCCATATATACCGCAACACCTCTGAGGATAAAAAACAAAAAACAAAAACCCCTGAGGGCAGGGTGTGGATGGGTGGTGGTGAGGGGGAAGTCCATAATTTTGAATGGGGAAAATATATTGCAATTAATCTCTGACTGGAATTTAGCATTTTACTTTGTTATGAATTTAGGCCACAAACCTCAGTACCTGTTACTTTGCTACTCACTGGTAATTACAGATGTTTCATTTTTCTCATGACAGTTGCTGCATTATCTTGAGCCATCATTTATACTCATCTAATTACTGACAGCAGTTTTTAGATTCACCAAAAGATTGTATCATGTAGTATGTTAACTATGTAAGCACATGTCACTCATTCAAATTTATTGTTAAAAATACTTTGGTAACTAATGTAGTATATTTTCTCTTGCAATTTTTGCATTTATTAACATAAAACATTATGCTCAAAAAGGTTTCCATGTCATTAGATAGCCAAAGGTGTTCACCATATTCAAGAGAAAGTTAAGAACTTTTTTGAGATAACATCAGTTAAAGGAGTTCAGTGAGCAGAGTGTAGGGGTTCTTCCACTTGGGCAATAAAATCATTGGCAGGAATATTCCTTATTTGGTTTCTTGTAACAAGTTACTTGTAATGTCACATTACATAATCCTCTGCCATAGATAATCCTGTCAGTTTTGCTGAGGGACTTCGATTTCTGTCAGACACCACAATATACAGTTCTCCAATACACATGAACAGCTCTTTGTCAAACCATTCCATAGTCCCTTATTTTCTTATCCTACACATTTAAGTT